ACATCTCATGTCAGACAATAGACTCACCTTATTAAAAACATATTGGGTTGACAATACTACGCCACACCCAAGAAGACTTGTGCACGTTAACAGATTTGGGGATAAGCGAGTCCTGATCGTAGTTGTACTTAGCTACCACCACCTTTTTCCATAAGTTGTTTTTATCCTCACTAAAACGCCAGATCCATTTGTTGAGAAAAGCACGATTCCTACATTTAACGTCGAAAACACCCAAACCTCCATGAGATTTTGGACCACAAACATTACCCCATTTTATCCAGTGAATGCCTCTACCAGACGTAGAATTCCACAGAAAATTTACAGTACATTTATTCAACCTTTCGGCTATTGATTTTGGAATAGAAAAGATGGACATATAGTAAATAGGCAAATTAGCCAGAACTGGCTTAATAAGCGTAAGCCTACCCCCAAAAGAGAGAAGTTTACCTTTCCAACTGTCTAGATGAGAAGAAATTTTATCGACAATAGGTTGCCACAAAGACTTAGAGTTCCTTTTATGACCAAGAGGGAGACCAAGGTACGTCGTAGGAAAAACTGTCCAACCGCAAAAAATAGAATCAGCCCACCTTCTAACTCTCTCCTCTTCCACATTGATCCCGAAGATCTTAGTCTTTTGCAAGTTAAGCTTCAAACCGACCACTACTTCGAACACTTTGAGAACACGATAAAAATTTTTAATTGACAAATCTTTAGATTCCGAAAAAATAAGAAGATCATCAGCAAATTGAATATGGGACAAAACAACCCTTCCAGACCCTATTCCAACTCCAACACACAAACCTATCTCAGTCGCTTTCGAAAGTATGCCACTGAGAGCCTCACCCAAAATATTAAAAAGAAAAGGCGACAACGGACAACCTTGCCTAAGACCCCTCTTTATAAAAAAAAAAATTGGATGGACATCCATTTACTAGCACTGCAATCGAAGGAGTCGAAATACAATAAGATACCCATTTTCTCCATCTTTTACCAAAACCCATTTTCTTCAAAATCAAGTTCAGAAACTGCCAATCAACAGTGTCAAAAGCTTTACTAAAATCAGCCTTGTATAAAATAGCTTCTTTCTTATTTTTGAACAGCTCATCAATTACTTCATTAGCAATCAAAGAACAGTCAGCAATTTGCTTTCCAGCCATAAAAGCGAATTGATTCTCACCAATCACTTCTTGCACACAACTAGCCAACCTCTTTGCCAGCACACGAGACACTATTTTGTACATGCTGCCCACCAAGGAAATTGGTCTAAAATCCTCGAGAAGAGTTGCGTCATTTTTTTTCGAGATTAAGGCAATGAAGGATTTGTTAAAATGAGGGTCATCGACTCTGCCCCAGTAGAAATCGGCCATAAAATTCATCACATCTGCTTTAATGTCCTTCCAGAACTTCTTAAAGAAATCCAAACTGAACCCGTCTGGACCCGGAGCCCTTGACCCATCCACCGACTTAATTAAAAGCCACACCTCCTCTTCAGTAAAAGGCCTTTCAATAAACCTCCTAGTTGCAGTGTTTAAACTCTTAAAAGGGATATCAAATCTCTTAATAGGGAGAGTATTCACGTCATTGAACCCCCCTGCGAAAATATTGAACGAAAGCTTGCTTAATACCAGCTTGATGTTTGATTACCGAATCGTCAACCTTCAATTTTAAAATCTGATTAATTCTGCCTCTTGACGCTGCTGAAATATGAAAGAACTTAGTGTTTTTGTCGCCTTCTTTGAACCACTTAAGTCTAGATTTTTGTAACCACTCACGTTCTTCCTTCAGCGAAAGTGCCCACAACCTTATCTTCAAATCCACTAATTCTGCTTTAACTGAAAGATCATAGGGAGACGAAAACCAATTCTTTTCCAATAAATCAATTTTCCTGCCTAGCTCCTCAACAGATTCTGAATTGTTAACGCAAGTAGCTCTATGCCACTTCTTAGTCTCAGACTTAATCAACATCAAAGTTTGAAACAGATTGCTTCCATTATTAACTGCACAAATATCTTTAATTCTATATGAGAGAGCCCAATGATTAAACCATTTGAAAGGTCTGAAAAATTTCTTTACTTTATTTTCTATAAGCAAAACAGGATTATGATCCGAAAGGCTTCTGGGCAGAGTAAATTGCATCAATTGCGTAAACAAACAAGCAATTTCCGTGGAAATAAGGATTCTATCAAGCCTGCTTGCTATCGCATTAGAAGTTCCCCTGAACCAAGTAAATAAACTGCCCGAAATTGGAACTTCTATCAAATTCCATCTGTATATGAAAGATTCAAAAATCCTCGAAGCAGCAGAATAGTCATGAGACCCTAATCGCTCAGAATCAGATCTAATAGTGTTGAAATCACCCCCTACAATAATAGGAGAGTCGAGACTTGTAATGAAAACACTTAATTGCTCAAAAAAATCCAATCTTTCACCCTGAACATTCAGACCATACACATTGATTATACCCAACTCCAGATCATTCTGAACAAGTGTACCTTTCAATGCCACTATTCTCTTCAGAACAATTTGCCTGCCTACGTTAAATACATTAGAATCCCACAAAGAAATTAACCCCCCTGAAGCACCTTCAGCAGCACACACAAAATGCCTACTGGACCCCCCTGTGAGCCTTCTTTCAATAGAAGCAGAAACTTCCGCAATTTTAGATTCCTGCAGCAGGATAAAACCTGTTTTGCTCGAATCAATGACTCTCCTAATATCTCTTAATTTAACAGGTTTCCCCAAACCTCTTACGTTCCAGGTTATAACCGATAAACCGCTTTCCATGAATAAAAATCACACAGCAAAAAACAAACGCACCTGGGGAAATAATGCAACTTAACCGATCACATTCGGCACCAATTTCTCTAAAACCTCTTCTCTCGAAGCTGCAAACTCCACGCCCAGAGCTTCTGCAGTAGCTAAAGATACCTCGGCTTCTCTCACAAGATCAGAAAGATGACCAGAAAAAACCCCGCCACAGTTCTTGCTTGCTGTCCCCAAACTCTTTGGTTTACACGACACAGCCCGACCTTTCACACTCATCTTCTTTCTTTTTGATGAATTGGCTTTCTTTACAACTTTGTGAGAAACCCGATTAGCCCCCCTTTTGGCAGGAATAGATGCGATCTCAGCCGTATATTTGGATGAATCCTCAATGGCCATCGACGAATTAACATTACCATGAGCAATAGGTTCAATCGAAAGAACCTGCTCCAAAGCTTGAAGAGAAGAGACCTCATCAATTGGCACCTCCTGTAGCCTAGAACTGTTAGATATAGACAGAGACAGCCACAACTGATCTGTGACTCTATTAATCTCCAGAAGCCCAAAACTATTGTCCGCAGGCTTAGTAAAAGGCCCAGCATTCGACCGAATCAGGACTTCGTGAAGGCCCTCTGTTCCATCCGCGAAGGGATCTACGTTGGAATCCACATGCACCACTCCGTCTGACAACTTTCCACTATTATTGACACGCTCGTGGCTCAATGAAACATTCTGCACCAACCCCATGGCCTCTTTCTCGGAAACATTACCATCTGCACAAACAACTGCGAACCCAGAAGCAGCCTCCTCTTCATCGGCAATTGATTGACATGCTCCGCCATCGAACATGGCTCCATCTAAGAAAACTAGATCTTCTTCGAAGGCTTCTGTTGAAATTTTTATGGGAACTAACCTACCGTTAAACAAGATAGAAACTCTCTCTGGAATATCAGACAGAAACTTCACTTCCAACAACAATCTAGCTACATCAAACATGTCCCGATTGGAGGTAATCTCATCTATCCTAAGCACATTACCCCAAAGACTACCTAATTCCATAAAGAATTTATCATTCCAAACTGAAAGAGGGACGTCCTTCAGGCAAACCCAAACTTGACTCTTCACTTTGTTCTCGAAACCTGCCAGAAGTTCCAGCTCATCAAACAAAAGGCGAACCCATTCTTTCCTTCTAGACCAGCAAACCTGTAGATCCTTATCATTCCGAATTGAATAACCACCTGAAGATCATGCCACGGGCTAACCTTAACGTCGAGATCTTCAGCTCTAAAAGCTAAGTGAATAATATCTTCATTATACATTTTTTTGATTTTACCAACCAAGCACCATTGTCGCCAAGTGAACTCCGACTTAGGGATGAAAATATTCCTATTTGAAGCATTGCTTGAAGGAGAAGGACGATGAGCTGTATTATCAGTTAAATGAACATGGACCACATCTACAGACCTTTTACAATACGTGAGCTGCAAAGGATCTTCAGAAACCCGAAGCTTACCATCTTCTGCCTTCAAGCCCCCGAGAACTTCCTTAAAGGACCTAGAGTCCCTCATAGAAGTCTTCCACTCCTTAAGAGAACTACCGGCCTCTGCCCTCTTATTTTTAACTTCCGTCCTATTGTCATGATATACTCTGAGCTTAAAACCGTCCATAATCCTACCATCCGCCCATCGAACTGCTATATTTGCTTCTGATTTCCTCCCAAACCTCACAAAGGCAAAAGTAGAACCAACAGATCTTCTTTTAACATTCCTGTACGCTATAAAAACATCAATCACCTCACCATACATCTGAAACTCTTGCCTAAGAGAAGACGAACTAATCCTTTTACTAACATTGTTGACGAAGACAGAAAAGCACTTAAAACCCCGCTCCTCTCCTGACCCCGCTTTGGACATTTTTCTTGAGTTAGTCAATGAATTTTATGTCAATGTTGTTGATAATAAATGAATGGACAATGATGACAAAGGTTGACGTCGGAGGCAGACAACAAAATTATGAACAATATATTGGGTCCCAATCCGTCCTTAAAGGCCACAAATTTATCGACTCTCCACCCACCCGTTTTGACTTTCGCCTAACTTTCCTTTTTTTTTCTCATTTTGACACTTTTGAGTCACCATGTACGCGCACCAAACGTAGAAAATTAACTTCATTAATCCAATAAAAAAGTGAAGTAATAGGCATCTCATGCAAAGGAAAACAGATTAGAAGTAAACAAATTAAAATGTTAAATGGAATTGAATCCCACTTTCTTTCTTTGATAATAATTGCAAAATCTACCATTTCTTCTTCCTTTGAATTAGAGAAAGCTTAGGCATATATATTACAGGGAAATGTTTGAGAAATCAAAGGTGAAAGTTGATCTATGAAGATTCTAGGATGAGGTTGCTAGTTTCTGCAACAGAGGGAGAATGATTATGGTCGCCTTCATAGGTAACAATAAGCATCGATGGATCATCTAAAGCTCTTTCCACATGCTTCCGAGCCGGACATCCTTTTACACTACTGCACTTGTAGTAACCCCTGTTCCAAAACCAGACAAACAGAAGAACATGTTGGAAACTGATCTCAAACTATCAACTTTGTTTAAAGAAGGGAAGATTAATTTAATATTGTACCTGGGATGTGGAGAACCCTTGATTGGTTTTTGACCATATTTCCTCCATGAGTAATCATCCGGTGGGATATCGACCAGCTTTAGGCTTATCGCCGGAACCCTTACAACCCTTTTCGATCTCTGCTTTCTGTCCAAGACCAAACATGAAACAAGACCCAAACTCATGTAAGAAAATTAAACATAATGAGAGCTATGAAATTGATAACTTTGTACAAGGTATGAATATAGGATGTACCTTTTCTTAGAGCAATGGCAGCGACCAGAAGAGCCGTTGCATTTAGTGCCGGAACCCAAGTTCTCAGAGCAACACTTCCTCTTCAAAGAAGCAGAAGACAAAGGAGGCTTCCCAGCAGAGGAGATTTGAGAAAGATTAGTGATTTGAAACGCAGATGAAGAAGATGGTTGCTTGCTATCAGTATCTCCCGTCAGTGATGACATAAACGAATTCCCAGCTGAAGAATATGAAAAATTGATGATTTTTGATGAATCTTTCCTCTCTAAACCCCCACTCTGGTGATGATGATGGTAAGCAGTGACCGACAGTGGAATCTGCTTGATCGGCGTTGGGTAATAAACATTTGTTTCCTGATCTTGATTTGAAGCAGGGGACGGGATCGGGGCTCTTCTAAAACGGGCGTGGCCGGTCCTGGTTCGACCCAGAAGAGAGATAAATTTCTTGAACTTGGGAACAGCAACGTCGGCTGCAACTTTGCAGTCCATTTCTAAATCCGTGGAGGATCTCGTTGAGATTGAAGAAGATTGATTATTACAAGTCTCAGAGAGTAATCTAATGAGTTTCTCGACACTTTGAAGCCCAGAAGCAGCTTCTTGAACAGCGGTTTCTTCCACTTTCGATGTGAAACCGTTGTTGTTTCTGTAACTCGTAATCAACTCAGTAGCCATGTCTGCAACAAAACCATTCAAAGGAAAAAAGTGAAAAGAAAATGAAGATAGAAGTGCCGTTGATAAAGGGAAAGGGTGGACTTATGGTCAAATTACGTGACTAAGCTGTCATCTGCTATTTATTTATTGAAATATCTTGGACTAGTTTTAATAATCTAGGGTTTTAGTGGAGGGAACATTCATGTACTTACAATTTTGTCTTCATCTGATTATTGTGGGTTAATTTGGTCTTAACGAAGGTTACCACAGAGGGGAAAAGTCGGGTCAAAACTATTAAATATTTGGATTTTTAATATTAATTTTGTAATTTAAGTAATTGATAATTATTGTTATACATATCGTGGTGATTAGTATAGTATTGAAGAGTCGATTATCAGGTGTAAATATCTTCATCTTATGTCGTGAAAATATAAGTTTGAGTGTTGTTATGTGTAATTGAAAACTAGAGGGGCATTTTTATTATTTTAGCCTTTCAGTTATTTTGTGATTTAAAAACATAGCAGAATTAATTTTTTTAAAACTCACGTAACGGATAGTTTTTTTTCAAGACTCTCTTTTTCTCTCTTAAAAAGAAAACAAGAATACTCTATGTTTTGGGTTTTGATTCTTTCAGTAAGAATTAAACAAGTTTTGATATTACCACAAGACGAATTGAGGATTATACAATATTGAGATTAGATAACATTTATTATTTTTTGCTTTTGGGATATTCAATGATCATAATAGAATCATTAATTAAGTTTTCATTTATTTTAATATAATTCTTAATAATTATGTCATGAGCTTGATTTAATTAATTTAATTATCTTATTAAGATTCTTATGTGTTAATTGTTTTCGCATTGAAAATTAATTGATTTTAAGTCAGATCTACAATAATAATTAATTAATGATACTAGTAATTTTCAATCAGAATTGTTAATTAATTATAGTAGAGTGAGAATAAAGTTGTTGCTAGCATGAAACAATTGACTTCTATGCTTTTCAGCTATTTTTTTTTTACCTTTGTCATTTTCCCACTTGTGTGATGGCCGAATAAGGCCAAGAAGATGGATTAGGATTAAGTTTTTAATTGAGTCTGTCAATTTTATTTTATTTTTACTTTTTAACATTAATTTGGTAGCCAGTCATTTTATTAATGAAATATAAGTTTCGGTCGAAAATCATTAAATAATGAAATATACGTTTTTGTGAAAACTAATTTGGTTATTATTTATTCTAAAAAAGATTTTTATTTAAAAAAGATATCTTTAAAAATTACATAAAGCAAAGATTAAACACTTCTTTTTGAAACAAAAACTTATTACGTATAAGGAACAATCCCTAATAATAGACCCTCAAGCCAGAACACAGTTGATCATTTCATTCAACATCAATCAAACTTGTTTAAAAAAATAAAATAAAATATCAAAGTTGCTTTTCGAAATAAGGTGTGATTTTTTTTAAAGTAGGTTAAATGTTTGATGATGTAAAAGAAGAAAAATGAATTAAAAAACTTAATTTATAATGGGTTTATAAAATATTATATTTAAATTAATTAATCAATAAATCATCAATGATAATTATATCAATAAAATAAAACCATGAAAAACATTTTACATAAATCATTTAAAAATACAAAAGGACATTTCTCATAATCTTTGCAAAATCAAACAAACTCTAATTTCTATTATGAGAAGTTCCAAAATTTAAATATGATGAAAAGACAAAAAAAAAGGAAAAGAAATACGAAGATAAATGAATCAATTCAATAGATAAAATTCTTTTAAAATAAAAAAAATTATTTTATAAGAAAAGGACAATAAAAGTAGAATAAATTTACATATTTTCATATAATTGTTACTTAAACGATATAAAAGATAAAATTATATTAACGAACTCAATAATCAAATTATTAAAACAATAATCAATTAATGGAATATTGTTTTGTAGAGCAGTTGGCAGCCCTTGCAAAGATCTTATTCGTTGATATTGACATTTCCCAGCAGGACTATATTATAATAAGTTAAATTTTCTTGGATACTAATTGCATGAGAACTTAACTTTGACCACTACTCTGTTGTGTGATTCTTCATCCACCACATGGAGATCAAGAGATGATTTCACATGTTTGAATTTCACACAAAAAAATAACATCAATGGGCATATGTCTTTTCATATATAATGCTCTTTTCAAAGTCATCTTAATTACTAATAAAGAATAATATATTCTCAAATTTTAGAACTTTTTATTTTATTTTCAACATTTACATACACTATTATTTCTCTCTAAGTTCTAGATGGAATAGTTTCGGATAGAAAAAGGAGATATTGAAATAAAATATAATAATTAAATTATAAAAAAAAATCATTACTAATCTTAAAATGTTAGTGATGCAATTAGATGTTTTATTTTAGCAAATTAATTACTCAATTAAAGAAACAGTAAATATAACTAACTGAAATTTTTTTTCTTCCATATATTTGGTACATTTATTTATCTTTCGAATCTAAAAATCTATGAGACCCGCGGTTCAGCTAACATGAGTGCGGATACCTTAATTTCTTATGCATTATCTAATTTTCACATTTTATTATAACTATGATAATCCTCCTGATTGTATTTCTCATATATTTGTTAGATGATACCATTAACGGCTAATATATCGAATGCTCGTCATGTTAAAAAAAACAATGTAATCTACTATATATATAAATAAAAAAAAAATAGATTTTAGAGTTTCACATTAGAGAAGATAATTTTAGTGACCGAAAATGTCTTATAATATATGACTTTAACCAATTCTTTTTGGATTTGAAGAAATAACCAACGAATTCGCAACGCGATTTCAAATTCGCAATACGAACTCCAATTTTATAACACAGTTTCCAAATTCGCAACACGAATTTCTCAAATTCGTAATTCGAATTCGGATTTCGCAACTAAATTATTAATATAGGTAAACACGGTAGAAAAAGAATTCACCAATTTCGCAAATCAATTACCAATATAGGTAAACATGGTAGAAAAAATCCACAACTCGAATTCACCAATTTTGCAACGCGAATTAGAGTTGTGTATTTTTTCTACCGTGTTTACCTACATCGGTAATTGAATTCGAAATGCGGATTTTTTATACCGTGTTTACCTATATCGGTAATTGAGTTACGAAATTGACGAATTCGAATTGCGAAATTGGCGAATTCAAGTTGCGAAATTGACGAATTCGAGTTGTGGATTTTTTTTATACCGTATTTACCTAAATCGGTAATTGAGTTGCAAAATCCGAATTCGAAAAGCGAATTTGAAAACTGAGTTACGAATTTGGGAAATTCGTGTTGCGAATTCCAAATTTGCGTTACGAAATTAGAGTTCGCGTTGCGAATTTTAAATCACGTTTCGAACTCGTTGGTTATTTTTACAAATCCAAAAAAATTAATTAAAATCATGTATTATACATTTTCATCACTGAAATTCACAATCACATGATGATGATGATGATGTCTGGTCGTACCAGTCCGCTGCATCAATTGCGGCCACTCAACAATTTTCTATGTCTAAAGTCTTAAAATTTAAACCCATAAGTTGAGAAAAGATAATGAACTAAAATGTCCAAATTTTATTCACCAGATTCTAACCACAACTTTTTGGGTTTCATCCTATCCTACAAAATAAATATTCATCTTTTCATTAATTGTTCTTATAAAGAATCATCGTTTCAAGTTATTTATCTAAATAATTTAATTTATATTAGATATAATAATTTCTTAATTTTATGTATGAAACTGAAAAACACAAATATTCTTACATAAAAGCAAACTCATATGAATGATATGCTATTAAATTTGACCTTTTAAAGGGTGAAAGCATCTTGGAGATCCCTGAGCTAGAGGAGGTGACCTCGCATAAAGTTAATTTGGTGAATATTATATTTATATTATATATATATATATATATATATATATAGAGTAGGATCCAGTTACACGTAAAATTCTTTTAGTTTTATATAGATTTAGGATCGTTGGATGAGTGAAAATAAATTACTCAGATTAACAGTAGGATATGTAAAGATTATGGGTGGCAATCGAGTAGGGAAAACCCGAAAATTGTGGGGATCTGAATCGACGAGATGGGAAATAACCGAAATCTTCACCCACTGGGATGGGGATGGGGGAAGTTTTATCCTCGAAGCTCAAATGGAGATGGGGACGGGGATTATTATATCCAAACTGTACCTTGTGAATAACCGTGAAAATCCCCAAAAAAATATCTATAGAAATCCCTGATATTTTATAAAATTTTAAAAAAATATATTCATAATCATTTACTTATATACCCTTAATATATATTTTAATAAAAATATATATATATATATGATAAGATTGTGAGATTACATGATGCATCTGTTACATCTCAGATGAACTAAAATTGAAGTTTAGATATTCTCTTTTAATATACATTGATTTGTTGAGATTGAAAATGGTTAAGATTGTACATATATATTGGGTATTAGATAATATTGACGTTTGAAACTTTCATATTATAGATAGAGACCAATTTAAGACAATTTGATATATTACAAGTTTTAGGTGTTACATTGATTTCAAAAATGTTTGTTTATTTTTTTGGATGAGGATTAACTGAAATCCGTAGGGATCGGTATGGGGACAAAAAAATCCCCGAAACATATAATAGGGATTCCCAAAATCGTACCCGCAAGTGTTGGGGACGACTTGAGTAATGCAAAACCGTCCCCGCCCCGTTGCCACCCCTAGTGAAGATGTTCACTTGGGGAAAAAACAAGGAGTTAATCCGAGCCATTTATTTTCACTCATCTAACTATCCTAAATCTGTGTAAAAATAAAGAGTTTTACATCGTGTAACTGGATCCTAACCCGATATATATATATTGATTATATTTGAATAAATGAATGACTTAAATTTAATTAAAATTTACAACTCATAAATAAATATATTTTAACTTACAATAAACTAATATATCTTTTACTTCAATCCAAAATTTCAAACCCATAAACTCATAATAATTCGAAGGTTACATTGTTTTCTTTTAAAAGTAT